TTCAACTTTATATTTAAAATAAACCATTTTATTAACAATATAATTTTTATTAAATAAAGTAATAAGTTAAAATACATAATATTAAGGTTATAAGAAAATTTAAAGTTTTTCAGTTATTTTACCACACCTCCATTAATCTAAAATGTGTGTGTATCAAAATAATATTATAATAATAATATTATTATTGAAAGGACTTTTATTTATTTTTTATAGGGCGAAACTTTATTTTTTTATTAAGTGCAATAGATAATTTTAAAAAATTTCCAAATCAGGTATAAAAGGTGGGGTATATTTTGTTTTAAATCCATAATTATCAATTTGACATTAATGATTTATACCTCTCAATAACTGCAGATAATTTAGATAAAACAATTGAATTTACAAAAAGCCACACAGTTATTCCTGAAGAAACAATCTGCATAATAAAACATTGTAGAAAAGCCTTACTTTATTTTAATAAGGAAACATGGAAAAAGAAAAACATACATGACTGCTTTGAGGTAACAATGGGCAGTTATAATGGAGCAGAATTTTGTGAATTTGTTGGACTATATATATATTAGATTTATTAAGTAAAATAATCAATATAAATGATTTATGCCTTTATCGCAACGATGGTTTAATAGTTATGCATAAAAATCTGGTCCACAGCTCAGTAAAATTAAAAAAGATATAAAAAATTTTAAAAATATTGGCTTTCAAATCGAAATAAACATAAATTTAAATATCCTGAACTTTCTTAACGTCACATTTAACTTCCCTGAAAATTCATGTAAGCCTTTTAAAAAACCAAACGATGAATTATTGTATATTAATATTAATTCAAATCATTCACCCCAAATTCTAAAACAAATTCCGATTTCAATTAATAACAGGCTAAACCAAAACTCCTCTAATGAAAAAATATTCAATTCCTCTAAACAAGTATTTGAAGATGCCCTTAAAAAAAGTGGTTTTGAAGATTTTGAACTAAAATTTGGCCCTGAAAAAAAGCGTACAAAAAAGCGATATAGAACTAAAAATGTAATTTGGTTCAACCCCCATATAGCAAAAATGTTTCCACTAACATAGGTAAAGTGTTTTTAAAATTAGTCGATAAGCATTTTCCGCCCTCTAATAAATTACATAAAATTTTTAATCGAAAAACAATTAAAGTTAGCTACAGTTGCACAAAAAATATGGAAAGAATAATAAAAGGTCACAATAATTCTTTGTTAAACAAAAAAGAAATCCTAAAGAAAAATGTACAGAAAATTGTAATTGTAAACAAAAATACCATGGTCCAACAAGTGGAAGTTGTTTATCTAAAAATGTGGTATATAAATGTATTGTTTCTTCTAAGAATGTGGCTTAATATATTGGCATAACAGAGGGTGAATGAAAAAAACGTTTTCCCAATCATAAGCAATCATTAAAAATAAAATGTATTCAAAAGACACCATGCTGTCAAAATATATATGGGAAATTAAAGATATAAACATTGATGATTTTATAAAGAATTGGGCCATCCTTAAAACAGCACCTGCATATAACAATAATTCTAAATAATGCATACAATGTCTTCAACAAAAATTTGAAATTATTACACATGCAAACCAAGAATGTTTATATATATATATATAAATATATATATAAATATATATATATATATATATATATATATATATATATATATATATATATATATATATATATATATATATATATATATATATATATATATATATATATATATATATATATATATATATATATATATATATATATATATATAGGCCTTGTTTTAGATAAAAAAATGCTGAATGCATTAGCCTATTGTGATTTTGATGTCATAAAATTGTTTTTGTTTTTATATATTATAAAGGCATTATTATTTTAATTCGCTGCAATAAAATGTTATACCGCAAAACAAGTTAAAAAGTATTTACAAAACAAGTTGAATATTATTTTTAAATATTATTTATACTTGTTTTTCATTAATGGGTCAAATCATTATATTTCAGTCAATAGCCTGGAGTTACGATCTCTGATTTTCCTAGTTTTTACATATTGTTATGTGCATTATTTTGATATTATACTTGCTTCCCTCTCCCCATTAATTGTTGCCACCCCAACTTCCCTCCCCTCCCCCACTCACTCTTAGCTTAGGGGGTGTAGGTTGTTGTGTCCAAACAACATACAGACCATTGATCACCTAAATGAAAATAATATATAAAGAGATAACGCTTTTAATTTAAAATTAATTTAGATATTTATATATTAAGTATCTAATTATCTAAATTAATTTAGAGTCCTTCATTTTAACAATAATGAAGGTACTTAAAAAGTTATTGAACTCTTTATTTGAGCCCCTATCTACTATAAAGACCAGATCAAGGAGAGGGCAACCAACCATATATTTCTTTTTGTTAAAAAATTACTTAAAATTAGTTGTACCTTTCACATTGGCTGATTGGCAGGTTGGAGGGGTTTCTAATGCATTCAACCGTTGATAATTGAAAAATAGGGTTATTTAAAAATGCTGGCATTTTTGGTGTAAATTTCACAAGTTATATGCTTATATTCTGGTAATATTACATCAAAACAAAGTGTTAAAAAGGTTTACCAGCATCTCAAAATGTCTAAAAATTTGACTTTTAGATTTATTTGAGTTCTAAACTGCAACAAGCTGCCTATATTTTGCCCATTTATTGCAGACAATAGTAGCTAATCAGAAAACTCATGTAAATATTTATGGATGAATAGAAATCTGTAAAGATTTGTGGATGAATAGAAAATTGTTACAAGTAGTTAGTCATTTTAGCATATTCTAGCAGTTTTAGGATTTTTTCCACAGTTGAGGAGGTCATAAATTTTTTTCTAATTTAATACAAGTTAATAAAAAGCAATTTTTCAATAGAAAACTATCCAGAAAAAAGTTTTAGAAAAAATGAGACACTTGTTGAAATTGAGTAAATAGTTATACAGCTCTAAAGCTCTAAAATTACCGTTGTACTTTTGACCGTTGTACTTGGAAGTGTCAAATTTCAAATTTAACCTATTTAGATAATGCACATAACAATATATAAAAATTAGGAAAATCATAGATGGAAATACAAAGTTTCCATTAAATTGTTTGAAATATAATCATTTGACCCTATTACTAATAGGGAATGTTTATTTTTATATACTTTTTTTAATATAAATTAATTAAATTTAATAATACATTTTTAAAAATATTCGATTTAAGCAAATATATTTCTTTTCTCAACATTTGTATAAATGAATTAAAATATGTAAATATTTTTAAATGATTTCTTAAATTTCTAATTCAAGCTTTGCAAGTAAAAATGATTTTTATTTTAAAAAAATTTAGGAATAATAAATAAAAAATTAAAAAACAAAAAATCGAAAAAGCAGTTGCCCTAAAAATAAACTAATTTTTTTTTAAGTATAAATAAAATTTTTAAATTAAACAATATTTACAAATTTTCAAATTAATTTTACAGTTAATTAAAAACCCAAGCATTAACTTTAATTTTAAAAATATTTTTAATTCTATTATTAAATAATTTTTTTTAATCAGAATTAAATTATATGCTTTTTAAATCTAAATTAAATGATATATTTTTTTTTAATCAGAATAATTTTATCCATTTTTATTAAATATCATTATTAAATTATATAACTATGGTCTTTGCTTCAAGCCTAAAATCTGGGCGTTTTTCAAGCGAAAAAAATCAATCAATACAATAAAAATAAAATAAAAATAAAATCTCATACTATAAAACAACAATAAATTAATCTTTAATTTTTTACTCTTTTTTTATTATTATTATTATTATTAATAATATCAAGCAGCAGTTGTTTCATCAACTTTTCAATGTAAGATTGACAACTTGTTTGTTGTTTCTAAAATAAGTGACATTTAAGCTTTTTTTTAGTTTTTAGTAATTGATCTTTTAATAAGTTATATGAAATATATTCCCTGTAATATAACCAGCATAAACTTTAAATTATTCTTTTGAAAAATGAAAAAGAAAAAAACATTTTTTTGCTATTCAAGAACTTACTATTTAAATTTTTTATAAAATGGAGTATATCAAATAATTAATATGTTTTAAATAAACCTTTTATAAACTGGATGATAAATAAATAGTTTTCAATTTCCAGTATACGCTTTATGAAACTGTGAAAACGCATTAAAATTGTTAAAATGGTTATTGGTAAAAACAGTTCTTATTTTAAATTTAGATTGGTGCATAAGATAATTCATTGTAAGGTAATTACATATACATTCATCAATTTCTTTTTGTAAACAAAAAACTGTTATTTAAACTTAAGAAAAGGTTTTATAAGAATTGATTTTAAAGCCCATGCAACAACTTGCTTCTAATTGCTTTATAAATTTTTGAACAATCATAAAAACAAAAACAATTTCTTTTTAAAGATTACTTTCTCAATTTTCATCAATTCATTTACTTTGATATTGGGCCGATCGCAAGAAGCACTCAATTACTTAATACACAATTTCTGTTTAATTTACTTAATTAATTTTTTTAACTTACTACAGTTTGTTAATTTGTAATTTTCATGTAACCATTTTGATAAATTAATATGATTATAAAACAATGTGAAGTTAAGATTTTTAATAACATCTATCAACTTCAAAAACAGTTGGTATTTTAAAATTATTAAATATTAAATACTCAAAATAAAGTATTAAATATTAAATATTAAAAATAAAGTAATAAATTGTTAATGCATTTTTGATCGCATAGTTGTTAATAACACTTCAATAAAGAAATATAGAAATTATGCATACTGGTAAAATTTACCATTTACATCTGTAAAAGATCTGTAAAACTGTACATTTTGTACAAAATATACAGTTTTAAAGTTCACCATTAATTTAATATTTTATAAAAATAAACAATAAATGTTTTTATCCTTTTTATTACCTTTAAGTAATTTTTTGATTTAAGATTGTCAAAAATTATTTAACAAATTTATTTGTTTAGATACAAAACTATGGCTTCTAATCTGTCTTATCAAAATGGTGAGATTTTATTTATTATTTAATTTATTATATAATTTAATTTTTATTATCAAATAAAGAAAAAAATAAACAGTTGCTGTCCCTTTTCAATATAAAAACCAAATCAAGATGGTGGCAACCAACAATAAAAACCAAATCAAGGTGGTGGCAACCAACAATATTTTTATTTTTGTTATGAAATGACTTATATAGTTGCAGCTTTTAAAAAAGCCAATAGGTAGGTTAGTTAGTTAGTTGGCTCTAGTTTTTAATAATGCATTCAACCATTAATAATTGAAAAATCCAATGGTATTATAAACTGGGTCTGATGGTATTATAAGCTTTTAATCTTATATAAATATATATTTTTAAAAAAATTTTCAAGCATCTTGAAATGACTGAAAGTTGGAATTTTATAGCGGATGAGAACCCTATCCGTGAATAGGAATTTTTTTTTTTTTTTAATTTTTTTTTTTTTTTAATTTTTTTTTTGTCAGTGATTAATATTTTTTTATACCTTTTTAATATATATTTTTCAGTGAGTTTTAGTTTTTTTTATAAAATTAAGGAGTTGTCATTTTTCTCAAATTCAGCACAAGTTTGGTAAAAAACACAATTTTAATGACCAGAAATTAATTTAAAAAAGATTATAAAGATAGATTATAATAAAAAGATTTTAAAAAAGAAAAATGTTGTAAAATATTTATTTTTACCATTTTTAATTTAAAAGGACCATTATGTTATGTTTATAAGGCTATAATTTCGAAACTGTTATACTTAGAAGTCTGAAGTTTCAAGCATAACCTTAATAATTCAGATGAGGATATATAAGAAACAGAATAGTGTCCCACAACATTTTTTTAAAAATTAGCTGAAACATAATGAACTGACCTTACATTGCTTTCTAAAACATGACAGTTGTATTTTTAAAAATTTTACTTTTTTATCTGTTTTTATCCCAACTAAATCTTTTGCATCCTAATGTTTTTTATTTTAAATTAAATAAATTTTGTTGAAGCGCTAAATTGATTAATCTCTGTTCTGGGTAATTTTACATCAAATCATTTGGTCTCTAGAACGGTGTGCCTTTCTTTTTGTTTAATGTTTTCACACACTATTGCTATTTATAAGAATACATTGAGTGCAAATTTTGTTTCAAAATGCCTAAGATCGAGAATTTAGTAATGGTTTCCTGAAATGACTTGGTTTTTTTAAAATATAAAAAAAATGTTTATCTTAATAAACTAAAGATTAACATAGCAAAAGTATGAAAATAAACACATTAATTGTTTTTGCAGAATTCATTAAATATACAGAATTGAATAAATATACCTATAATACTGAAATATGAAAAAAACATTCTTAAAAAGCAATGGAACAACAAGTATATTTAAAACACTTTCGAGGCTTGATATCTTAATAATATTTTCTTTTTTTTCTTTTTTAGCTACTTAAAAGTTTATCGCCAATATCGCCAAATAGTTTAACAAAGATTTAAGTGGAAAACAACAGTTACATATAGAACTATAACTTCAAAAATAAATTACTTTTTCAATAAATTAGAGCATCAGGTTGAAGTAGTTCTTTTTAAGATTGTGTATGATTGTGTAGTTGGTGTCTGTACTACACTTCTTTACCCTAACCCAGTTGTCCCCAACTGATGAAAGAGACAAGTACCAGAATTACTGCAATATTGTACCTTTTTTGCTGTCCTTTATGTTGCAATTGTAGTTCATACTTTTTATGCTTAAGTAAAACATAATAGCAAATAAAAAAGTTTTTGTTAAATATAATAACATTAACTCAAAGTAAAATTTTTGTTTAAAGTTTCTTCAATCTTAACAACTACTAATAAAAATCACATTCATAAAAATTAATTTAATTTATATTATTTACCGCATTTTTTATGTTAAGAAATTTTTAGACTTTTATTTTAACAAATTTAATTATAAAATTGAAAAATATATGAAAAAAAAAATATATATATATATATATATATATATATTTATATATATATATATATATATATATATATATATATATATATATATATATATTTATATATATATATATATATATATATATATATATATATATATATATATTTATATTTATATATATATATATATATATATATATATATATATATATATATATATATATATATATATATATATATATATATATATATATATATATATATATATATATATATATTAAAACGATCAAAAAAAGATGATTGACTTAAGCTAGCTGCTAGCTTTTTTCTTTATTTGTTTTTGTTTTTGTTTTAAAACCAAATTTTTTTTTTATTTTTTTTTTAACAGTGGTTAATCCCTCTCTCAACACTTAAATCCTAAAAATGAAACTTAATAAACAATGCTACTGTGCAAAGAAAAAAGTTGAGTTAGAGCCGTTAATAAAAAGATTTTAGTAGACAAATTTCAATTTTAAAGTGTTTTCCAGAAAACTTGAATCAACATAATTTAAAAAGTTTGTTAAAAGTAATAACATAAAACTTGAGTAAAAGTTTTTCAGGCAGAGTAACAAATAAAAAATTGTCAAATATAACTACGTTGATTCTAAATAAAATGTTTGAAAAAATTCTTTAATTTTGAAGCAATAAAAATCATTTCACTAAAAGTTACTTTCATTAAATTTATCAGAAATTTTGTGTCAATTTGTATGTATGTGGTAGTGGTGTAGTGATAGTGTGCTTACTTTATAAACAGGAGGTTCCGAGTTCAATCTCCATTATGTACCTGCAGGCCTTGCGATGAATAAGAACTGCGCGACGCCTAAGCACGACGTGATTTTTGACGTCATTAAATTCTTTTTATTTGCTTTTCATATTTATCGACATTAACTGCACCAATTTACTTAATTACCGCAAAACTACTTTAAATCGTTTATGTAGAAATGTTATTTTTTAAAAATGTTTTGGAATGTTTCGTTTTTTAAAATGTAAAAACATTTGTTTATTTTCTCGACGTTTGTCACGTTTTGTCCATACTAAACGAATAAAAAACATTATAATTTAAATTTAAAAAAGATTATAAAATATGCTAATATTTGATTTTTTTTTTCTTAAATATGTAATTTAAAGTTTTTCAAATAATTATTTTTTTTTTTAAAAGTTAGATGGTAATAAACTGGAAATTTTAATATTGTACGATTAAAAACTGTGCAATAGCTAATATTTTTACAAGCGATTTTATATAATATTTATTTATTTATTTTTATTTATTTTCAAAAAGCGGTTGATAAGCACAATCACTCGTATTAATAAAAAAATTTGAACGAACGTTTTGAATAATTTTTAATGTTAACAAAGAATTTTATTTCTAGTAAAATAAAATAAAATGTTAGAATAAAAATTTATAGGTATAAAAGAAATATTTCAGCGAAAAAATTATTCTTATAAATTGTTCTTAAAAATTATTCGAAAAACTATTGACGTTCTATTTTTCAGCAGCTCTTCTTGAGCACGCTTCGTTGAGTTTTGGTAACTTTTAACATAAAAGCGATCGTTATTATTTAAGTAATTTTTTTGAGTTACTTTTTACAAAAATTTTAATAACTGTACTTTTTCATTGAATCAAGTAGAATACGTTTTAATATTAATTCTTTTTTATTTTTTTATTTGCCCTCACCAATTTTTAAAATGTTTCCTCGAAATTACTCTTAAATACGTCTAACAGTTAATAAATATTTTTAAATCTATGGAATAATTTTAAAACCTAACAAACCCCCGTAAAATAATTATTTAAGTTTAAAATCTAAAACTAAAAGAAAGTATTTTTGTTCAATTTTATCGACAACTTTGCTATTGCTGAATAATTTTAATTAAATGTTAGCTTAAAAGATTTAAACTTTTTTTTTTAATTTTTGAATTTTTTCTACTTGTAAATAATAAGCATATTTAATTTTTTTAAATTCAAACTTTTGTTTCAACTGCATGCGGTTTTTAAAATACTTTATTAAATGTTCAAATAATCGTAAATTACTTCATTAAAATTCCGCTCAAAAATATCTTTAAATATACTCAAACAAAAATTTTTTTGCTCGATGCAAATAGCCCTAGCTACACGCAAAATCGCTCTTGGACGACGTAAAATTCACATAGCCCGACGCTTTATCGCAATGCCTGTACCTGGTAGTACTGCACTCAACTTGTTTCTCTGCATATCAGTCTTGTTCGTCAAGATATGTGTTTCAGGGTTATGGAGTTAAGAGAGATTTATATTTACAATCAAGAAGCCTCTTTGCTTTTAGTAGCCTTCTTAGCCTTGGGGAGGTAAATTTACATAAAAAAAGTATATTATTATAAATATTTATATGTCTATACAAAAGTATGTATAACATATACAATATAATATTTAATAATAAATCAGTTGTTATAGTAATAATGATCATTATTAGTAAATCATGATGATGGCTTTAATAGAAATTGTTTTGTTTTATTTAGATTTGGCAAGGTTGTCTGCTGAACTTAAAAATTTTTATCTTAAGTATTATGGAAAAATTGGTGAACTACAACCGCTATTACAAGAAATTGGTGAACTACAACCGCTATTACAAGAAATTGGTGAACTACAACCGCTATTACAAGAAATTGGTGAACTACAACCGCTATTACAAGAAATTGGTGAACTACAACCGCTATTACAAGAATCTGCAAAATTAAATCAAAAGAGAAATCTGATAAATAAGACTTTTGATTTTAGTGTTGAACAAAATTTATTTTTTGAAAACCAAATGAGTTATACACCAATTAAATATAGTGAAATATTTTCAAATGAAAAATCAGTAATATTAATATCTGGAATAGCTGGTATTGGGAAAACATGGTTGCTTAAAAAATGTTTGCTTGATTGGTCAAATGGTTTAATTTGGAAAAATGTTAAACTTGTTTTTTATTTGGAATGCAGGAGACTCAATCAATATCCAAATATTTCTAATATTAATGAATTACTAAATGTTTTCTACAAAGATATTGTAAATGACTTTAAATTGAGTAGTCATACTACACTGTTTATAATTGATGGATTAGATGAGTTTAAATATTTCAATGAGTTATTAAATCCAAGTTTGACTTGTAACTATCCAATTGTTAATGCTTTCGCAGAAATTACAAAATACAAATATGTAGTTGCTGGTAGAGTTTATGCAATAGATCAATACCAAAGTATATCTACAAAACATAGCCATAAGTTAACCATTCAAATAATGGGGTTTAATGAAAATAAAATAAATAATTATATAGAAAATCATGTTGTGGAAGAAAAAAAAGAAGTTGTAAAATCAACTTTAAAGGAGTCTCCAATTGCAAAAGTCATGGCATCTGTTCCGTTTTATTTATCTTTAATGTGTAAAACTATAAGTGATTCACAAAATATTGATTCAAATTCTTTCTTAACATTGACAGATTTGTATGCAAATATTTTTTTATATTTTTTGCGAGAACACATAATTAAAAACAATAAATTGATTTATGAGATAATGGAAGAAAGTTCCAATAAAAATTATATTTTAAATATTTGTAAAATTGCATATAAATTGTTTGTTGAAAATAAAATATTTTTTTCTGAAGATGAAGTTCAAAGTTTTTATAGTGACGTTGATAAAAATGAAAGCAATTATTTTGGATTTATAGAAAGGATTGAAACAGATCACGATTGTTATTATCAGTTCGTAAATTCAACAATAATGATGTTTTGTGCATCAGTATATGCATATAATTGTTTAAGTTGTGATGAGATTCTGACCAATAAGAAACTGAAGAGTTGCTTATCAATGATTTGTGGATTAGCCAATAAAAACCAAAATAATTTAATAAAGTTTCTTGTTAACCTGAATCCTTCAAAAAACTCCAGTGAAAAAGCTTCACTTTTGTACTCCATTTTGGGTAAGTTCTGAAACATTGATGCATTATTGTGAGCCTAATTTAGATAATCATTCAGGTGTTAAATATGATGTGAATAATATAGAGATTTTACCTTTTTTATATTTTTTGAAGGTATTGAATACTATAAAGTACTTTACATTTGATATGTTTTATAATGTTAGGCAGTAGGGTGGATCAATTTTTAAAATTTTTGAAATTTGATTTGCCTGAGCTGCGAATCGATGTCTTTTGATGAAAAAAGAACCTTACTTTTTTTTTTTAATTTAAATGAGTTTTAGAAGTTCTTTTTTGGATTCTAAATCTTTGACGGATCCTAATATTTTTGAAATTTTTTTTCTTCTAAACTATATCAACCTGGTACTCAAAAGAAGCAGAATAATACGCTTATTTTGAATATAATATTTGTTTTAATACAAAACTAAAGAGAAAAAATAATGTAGTTTTTTCATTAAAAAACCCCCATCTTCACCAAAATGGGGGTTTTGAGGTATATTTTTGCAAATATTTTTTTTACTAAAAATTTTTTTTAATAAAATTATTATTGATAAAACAAACATTTTTTTCTGCTTTTTTTGAGTCCAAGGTTGATATAGTTTTAAAAAAAATATCAAAAATATTAGGATCCGTCAAGGATTTAGAATCTAAAGAGAAACCTCAAGATCTCATCAAAATCAAAAAAAAATTTTTTTACTTTTATCTTATAATTAATAGACATCGATTCATGTCTCAGGAATATTTTTATACTTTTTTTTTTTTTTGCTATGAAAATCGATCCACCCTATTAGGCAAGTTTTTTAAAAAAAGATTTAAATAACTATTCTTTATCTAATATGACACAAAAAAATTTTATTGTGTGAGCATTGTTCACTTTATAAATGCTGAAGGTGGTTATGTGGTTTTGGTTTTTTTAGATTTTTTTATGCATGCATGTGTGTGTTATTTTTATTAAATATTATTCTTTAGGAAACAAAAGATAATTTAAAAATTCACTAAGAGTTTGTACAAATATATATATATAAAATTCACTAAGAGTTTGTATAAACATATCTATATATATATATATATATATATATATATATATATATATATATATATATATATATATATATATATATAAATTCTTCAAAATATTTTCTTAAAGTATGAATTATGTTAAACATGCATAAAATATGTTTTTTGTGAACATAATATGTTATCATAAATATTATAAAAATGATTGTAGTGTCTTTATTATAATGTTATTCAGTGTGATAAACATTAAAATCACCAACAACAACTATATTGGCTTATGGATAAAGAAAGAGGGCTTGGTCAATATGATCAGAAATAACATCAAGAAGAGTACAGTCTTCAGATGAAAGAGAGTGTTATAGAACAAAGAGAAAGGTGATAGAGTGAAGTGGTGCTAAACGAAAGTACATAAAAAAGTAGTCTGTGGATTAAAACCTATTTTTCCGACAAATGGGTGAATTCTTACAAATATAAATGGCCTGGCCAAGCATGTAACTATTGGAGTCTTTACGAATTAAAGAAAGATAACCATTAAGACTTAGATTACAAGATGAGACAGCTGAAATCAAATTAGTCTCACAAAGAGCAAGTAGGTCTGGTAATCTTTGCAAGAGATAAGACTCAACAAAAAGTTACATTAAAGACCACAAGTATTATTGAATGATAGGTTCAGCGAACTTAGTGATGACTGTGGTTTTTTGTATTTTGTACTTTTAGTTACTTTATTAATTTTTTTATTTGATAAAGACTTGATACATAGCTAGTACACAGTACACTGTTTTATAGCCCAAACAATTGCCTCATTACTATTAATAAATGCGCACCAAATGTACAAACAGGGACAGCATCCATGAGCAACATGGCACTGTAAATACTTTGATATTTTCAGCTGTTGGATGAAATTTATATATATATATATATATATATATATATATATATATATATATATATATATATATATATATATATATATATATATATATATATATATATATATATATATATATATATATATATATATATATATATATATATATATATATATATATATATATATATATATATATATATATATATATATATATATATATATATATATATATATATATATATATATATATATATATATATATATATATATATATATATATATATATATATATAATTACTATATATATATATATATATATATATATATATATATATCTATATACAGCATGATGATGACATATATATCTTATACTGCTGAGTCAAATAGCCTGCTACCGGGGGCTTCAGTACATACATCAACTGAAAAATAGCCTGACTCGCAGTGGAGTGCTGCTACATCGACTGAGGGTTTGGTATTGTTCAGCAACCTTTTCATTCATTAGTCTTTGTTTTAACTCATCGTTATCTAAAAATGCTCACTTAATTTAGGCTAGCAAAAAAAGTATGCAATTGCGCATATAAATATGCTATAGTAGATTATATATATATATATATATATTATATATATATATATATATATATATATATATATATATATATATATATATATATATATATACATATATATATATATATATATATATATATATATATATATGTATATATATATATATATATATATATATATATACATATATATATATATATATATATATATATATATATATATATATATATATATATATATATATATATATATATATATTTATATATATATATATATATATATATATATATATATATATATATATATATTTATATATATATATATATATATATATATATGGAGATGCAAAAATATATATATATATATGGACATGCAAAAATATATATATATATATATGGACATGCAAAAAAAAATAATTATAAAAAGTCATATGTTTTCCTAGATTAGACTTTTTTGTTTAATTCATTTGTACCGTTTCTGGTAGCCATGGTAAAATAATTTAAATTTACATATAAAATTTAATAATTTATCTTGTTATTTTATTCTTAATGTATTTAATTTAAACATCATGTGCATATAATAGGCACAAGGTCTGTAGGTTAAATAAAATAAAGAGTAAATAAAAAAAAGAATATATTCAGCTATCTACAACAACCCATCATTTGGACCGTCCTAATTTTCTGTTAACCGGACCAACTTTTTTGATGTGATCCTAGAGTTAGACAAAAAAGTGTCAAAAGATGAACAAAGATTAATAGTGTTAACTAATATTAACCATAAATAGAAAAAAATAATAATAAAATGAGTTAAATTTTAAATATTTCGCTATTTTTTAAATTTAAAATGTCAAATAGATGTTTCAATAAATAAGATATTTTTTTTGAACTTGAGTCTGTATAAAGAGATGTTCATTGTTGTGGTAAAACAGATAAATATATCTACAGTTTTTCCATATATATTTATCATATATATAACACCTTCAAATATATATATATAAATATATATATATATATATATATATATATATATATATATATATATATATATATATATATATATATATATACTCACCTATATAGTATATATATATATATATATATATATATATATATATATATATATATATATATATATATATATATATATATATATATATATAATATCTTCAACTCTATAAAAACTTATTGTCGAGACTTCAACTCTATATATATAATGATATATAATATCTTGATGATATATAATAATGTAATGTATAACAATGATATATATCTATATATCTATATAAGCTTATCTATATATCTATATAAGCTTTCTTCTTATGGTGTAGCTGGTAACGTCTTTAAGATTATTGAGTCCTTTCTTTCCAATCGTAGTATAAAAGTTGTCCTTGATGGATAACACTCTTCTTCACATCCTGTAACTTCAGGGGTTCCTCAAGGTTCAATCCTTGGCCCTATACTCTTTTTAATTTACATTAACGATCTTCCAGATATTCTCACATCTAAGGTGGCATTATTCGCTGACGACACTACCATTTACTCTTGTCATGATAAGAAGCCTACACTCTCTGATTGCTTGGAGGGGGTATCTGAGCTTGAAAAGGATCTCACTTCTGCTACAGCATGGGGCTCACAGTGGCTGGTGAACTTTAATTCAGATAAAACTCAATTTTATTCGGCCAATCGTTATCGTAATAATTTAGATCTTCCTATATTTATGAATGGTAATGTACTAGATGAGTCATCTACCATTCATCTTCTAGGATTAACTCTTACTTCTGATCTTTCTTTTAAACCGTATATCAAATCCATTGCAAAATTAGCATCTGCTAAGGTTGCATCTCTTTATCGAGCTCGACACTTTCTTACTCCAGATTCTATTCTCTATCTCTATAAATCTCAAATCCGTCCCTGTATGGAATACTGTTGCCACATCTGGGGCGGATCTTCTAATGATGCTCTTTCTCTTTTAGACAAGGTGCAAAAACGAATTGTAAACATAGTTGGACCTGCTCTGGCAGCCAATCTCCAACCTTTGTCACATTGTCGTAATGTTGCTTCTCTTTCTCTTTTCTACAAATACTATAATGGGCACTGCTCTAAAGAGCTAGCGTCCCTTGTGCCATCTACTAAAATTCATTCTCGTGTTACTCGCCATTCAATTGAGTCTCATCCTTTTTCTGTGACTGTTCCTAAGTGCTTCAAAAACTCTTATTCTTCTAGTTTTTTTCCTCGAACATCAGTTCTTTGGAATTCGCTTCCTTCATCTTGCTTTCCTGATTCATATAATTTGCAATCTTTTAAGTCATCAGTCAATCGTTATCTTGCTCTACAGATTTAGTCTTTTCTCTTCCAGTAACTTCCAACTCTTATAGTGGTTGCTTGCAGCCTTGTTGGAAGTGAAGATGTTAAAAAAAATATATATATATATATATATAATGATATATAATATCTATATATTTCATAAAATAATATATAATAATGACATATAATATCTATATATATAATGATATATAATATAATGATATATAATATCTTCAACTCTTTAATAT